CTTTCCTGTGTGTAGAAGTTTCCCGGCAAATTGTGCCCCTTCCCCCCCTGAGAAACTCTCAAGGGCAAGAACTGTGCCCTTGTGGGTTTGGTACAACAGTCAGTACAGTGCTTGACATGGGGCCGGTGCTCAGCAGGGGCTGGGACCACACATGACCTGACTTGGAAATAAGCTCTGAGAGACTCTCAGAAGGGGCAAGCCTCGAAAAGCCTCAAAAATGGAAAACTTGACATAAAAGTATGAATTATATATTATTGAGTTCTTATGTAAAAGCATAGACATATTAAAAAAATTAAAATGAAGATCAATTTGGTAATTATTACAAAGAAAACCCTGTGGAATTACATATGAGAAACTTCTATACTTTGTACCATAATTCATATAATGTGTTTGACTATCTAAAAGATTCTGTACACTTCCCTAGGTAAAGCCTAGGGAAAAAGCACGTAACACAAAACACAAGTTAATAAGAAACACAGTGGCCAGCCTAACAATACACACTCTTCCAAGCATCGATTAATGAGCACAATTCTCTCCTCACAGCAGGAAGTGACAAGGAAGTTAGTCCTCACCTCTCAAAAGTCAGTCAGTCTTACAGGGTCACTTCTCACAAAGAGCAACCAATAGTTCATCAAAACTCAGGGAGGATGGTAGACTATGGGCCCACCCAGGGGAGAGTGACAAAAAGAATCATGAACTGAAAATGGAACTGAAGCTACAGATGCCCAAGGACTGAACAGACAGCCACGAGCACGAGGCCTCCCGCCAGGGATGGGGCAGCAGCACCCACCTCAATGATCTCCGTCTGAGCATGCTTCGTCCAGAATGCCTGTGGAGGGGTGGTGACACTCACAGCCACAAAACTATTTGGTTTTCGATCTAGCGATGGAGTGTGCAGCTCACTGCAAGCTACAGAATCAAGACGGGAGGAAGAAGAATCCTTTTGGATAGAGTTCTAGTTAGTTCACTGCTCTAAACCCCCCCCCCCCAAAAAAAAAAAAACCAACAACCTGAAACAGTCCTAGAGACACCATGGTCACACTGTCGGTAAGAGGGGGATTATAAAAACCTGTCTTCTCATTCTTTTTCCCTCCTCCCTCCTCACAGTATGGAGGGCGTCCGTGGAGTGAAGCCTGAACTAGGTGGCCTTCTGGCTCACAGAGTGGACTCCAGAGCCAGCAGCCTCCACAAGCTCCCAGGCCACACCATGCATCTGCATATGGTGACGGCTGTGGCTAAGGAGCCTGGAGATCCTGTGGACCCGGCGTCCCAGCGGGCAGGTGCTACAATAAGAGTAAAATTCCACGGTAAAACCAAGCTCTTTCTAAAAGAGGCCAACACTCCTTTATAACGCATGTCAAATCTAGCATTTCTGAAATGCTTCTTCTTAGAACTAAACACTGGAGCATTTCAATTAGACAAATCTGTCTTACTCTGACCTCAAAACATCTCAAGTGTGAAGTAAGTCTACCACACAATTACCCAGTCACTGCCCTGGCTCCCACATGTCCCTTGACGGAAAAACACTGAAAGGGGAGCAAAGGCCCGGCACTACACTCTAATGCCACCCACAACAGACATTTCCTTACGAAGACAGGGCTGCTCGTGCAGAGGAGCCAGGTTCCCTTCTCAGCACCCCCATGCTGGGTGTGCCTGAACCCCAATCCAGGGAATGCTCTGGCCTCTAATTGTAGCGCCTTCCGTTAACCGTGCCCCGTCACACACATGTTCCCAGGCCCTTTTACACTGTTGGCTGCGCTGTCACGGACTCCTCCTGGCCTGGGAGTCTCGGTTTTTTACCCCTGTGACTTTCTACCTGGAATCACCTCTGTGCTCCTGAGCAGCAGTCCACAGCACTGCTGAGACTGTGCGGCCGGGGAGGGGCTGGCGCTTCCCTTCAGTTTGTGCAGTCTGGAAACCCTTCACCGCACTTGAATGATTGAAGAGTATTTTCTCTAGGTGGTTATTTTCTAAGACCTTTAAATATATTGTCTCAGGGTTTCTATTTTTTCCTGCTATAAAACTGACAGTCTAATTACTGCTATGTTGAACACTGTGTGTGTGTGTGTGTGCGTGTGTGTGTGTGTGTGTGTGTGTGTGTGTGTTTCTCTTCAGAAACTGGTCAGGTAATGATAGTTTTCCTAAGCATGGGCTACGTAAGGTCTCTTTGGTTTTGCAGAATATATAACTCTAGGTTAGCTGCCTTTTTAAGAATTTGCAATGTTATTTTCATCTAGAAGCACATGAGTTTTCTCTTTTCCTGGGAGTTTGGATGTTTCAGGAGACAAGCTACTTGGTCACACTGGGTCCTTGGGCAGCCCTTGTACCAGGGAAAGACTTTGTGCCTGCTGCTCCTCTTCCCATCTCTCCTGTCTCTGATCTCTCAGCCACCAAAGGTTACAATGCTACATGTTGTCTCACCTTTCACTCAAAAATCTGTTCCCTTATTAATTTTGAGCTGGGGCCATTCCTTCATGACTTACGAACTCAACCTGCAGCAGAGTACCTTTGGCTTCTCAGTGTTTTTATGAAGCTAATTCATCACCCCAAGCTGTACAACCATTATAGTTGTCTACTTCCTTAATACGGCCACATTTCAAAAGAAAAAAATCTATACCCACCAGCAACCACATATCATTCCTCGTCTCCAACCTCCAGAACCCACTAAGCTCATTCTGTGTAGACTCGCCTCTTCTGGACATTTCACGGGATAGGAGTGTGCAGTGTGCACTGTGGCTGTCTTCTCCCATGTGCCCGCTCTTCCAGCCTCCCTAATGCTGCGGTACCAGTGCTTTGAGTAACTACTGAATGAACACATCACACACTGTTCATCCACTGGTGGGTATTTTGATTGCTTCTACCTCTTGGTTACTACAAATAATGTTGAAAACACTTGTGAAGTAGTTTTTGTTGAACATATGTCCTCGTCTATTTTTAATGATGTTGCCTAATATATTATTCTAGGTTGGCTGCCTTTCTAAGAATTTGCAGCGTTACCCTACTGCTTTTGAATGTCATCCTGCTTTCTTCCTCTCTTCTTCTTCCCTCTTCCTATCCTCCAATATTTTTAAGCCATGGTCTAAATATAAAGCTCATAGTTTGTTGCTTTTTAAATTCTGTCCTTGACTTTCACCATTTTAATTAGGATGAATCCAGGTGTGGCTGTCTCTGGAGCTTATCTGAGCTCTGAAAGGGACATTTAGCAAGTTTTATCATGATGACATTTCAGAACGTGGGAAATAAAATGAAGATATTAAAATCATCCAGATGGAGCTGGAGAGATGGCTCAGGAGTTAAGAGTGTTTGCTGCTCTATACGACTGCTAGAATTCAGGTCCTAGCACCCAAGTCTGGCTCCTCTCAAACGTCAGAATCTCCAGCTCCAAGCGATAGGGCTCCATCTTCTGGCCTCCACAGGCGCGCGCGCGCGCGCGCGCGCACACACACACACACACAGGTACACATGGATATATTGGATATATGCACATATATCACACTGAGCCTGACTACCAATCGACTGAGCAGCCATTCCAGGAGCCACACATGGCAGAGGCCATTCCTGCGCAGTCAGCAACAACAATAACAACAGTGGCAGCAACAAAAATCCCTGGGGAGGAAGAGTCTGATTTCCAAAGCTGGTACATCACGTGTTGAAAGCATCTCATCTTTAACTAGAATTTATGAACCGTGAAAAATATGACACACAAGAGAAACGCTGCTCATATGTGGAAGAATTTAAAAACTAAAAAACAGTCAACAGTACCTGTCCCTGAGCAGTCATGACCTACTAAAAAACTACGTAAAATATGAGGAAAATGTCTTGTTAAACAGAGACTATCGGTGAAGGAACTGAAATCATAAAACTAGCCATGTAGAGAATATTCAAAAGTACAATAACGGAACCGAAACAATCATTAAGAGGGGCTCAACCGTGGGCAGACCAATAAAAGAAAAAAAGAAGAGTTGGCATACTTGGGAAATGTCAGCTAAGACTACTTAGTCTGAAGAACAGAAAGAAATAAAAAGAAGAAAAATAATTTCCAAGAGCCCTGGAGATCATGTTCGCCAACACAGGTTTAATCAGAGTTCTGGAAGGAGAGGGGAAAAAGAACATTTGACAAAACGATGGCCAGGCACACTCCAGACTTGATGGAAAACAAGATGCCTTGAGAGGTATTTTTAACTAGACTCGCATTCTTCAGTTCTACAGGATTTCTTGTTTATTTTTAAACTTCCTCTTTGCATTCGCTTTTTCATTTACTCTTAAATGATGGCACTCTGGACTGTCCGGCTCGCTCCTGTTCCCTATGCTGCCTGCTAAGACAGTTTCGTAGATATCTTCCAGGCTTTCCTGATTTGGTAAGTTTCATCTGTTGTTTTAAACTTTAAGACTGTCCTGTGTTCTACAGCTGCTCTTTCTAAACAATACCCTGTCAGGGAACACATACAGGTACATCCTCCTCACAGGTCTGAGTCACTATTTCTCTGGTGTTTTCCACGCCTGCGACACCCGCTCCATCCAAACACCCTTGCTTCACGCTGTAGGCCTAGCACACGAGGATGCTGGTCTTTCATTTCTTTTGCTTTCTTCTAAATCACTTTTGAGATACAAATTTCTTGTGGCACACAACCATTTTAAGCTCAATGAGTGTTGTAAGTTCCTCCCACTGTTGAGCTGAGAACACTTCCACCCACCATCCCCACAGGTAAAAGGAACCCGGGCCCGAACTCTTGCTTCTTCCCTCCTTTGCCCTCATCTTCCTTCTGCTAGGTACATACTCCACTCAGGTGACACTTCCCTAAACAATGTACATCCTCTCCCTCCAAAGAGACAAGTGACTCTGGTACCAGATGAAAGTGTGGGCAGCTGTGCAGACACCGAGTTGTGACTGCTGGAGCTCACTCAGCCTGCTATGTGCCTTCCTGATACTTCATTCTTTAAACATGGACATTTGCCCCCACAAAAAGATTGGCTCCCAAGTGTCCACTGCAACTTTGTTTGTAAGAGTCTCCACTGAACACAACTCAGACTGCCACCCACAGGCAGCTTCATCATGGAGGAGCAGTCAGTTATGAGAAGCAGCCTCTGAGGCCCTGCATCTCCTCAGAAACAGCTCAGCAGTGTGCTGACAGCAGGTTTGGAGACAGACTGACAGGAACAACAACCAGGAGAGGGTACTTACCTAAGCTGAATTCTAAAATGGGCTCGTCTGGGTCTTGGATATTTCCTGTTAGAAGAGAAATGACAGAAAACATCACTGTAAATGAATCTTCCCCAGAATTTAGACTACATTTGTTTCATGCAAAAATAGAAACAAGAAGCTGGGTGTGGTGGCACATGCCTGTAATCCCAGCACTCAGGGAGGCAGAGGCAGGCAGATCTCTGTGAGTTCGAGGCCAGCCTGGTCTACAAAGTGAGTCCAGGACAACTGAAAGGTACACAGAGAAACCTTGTCTTGAAAAACCAAAAAAAAAAAAAAAAAAAAAAAAATCCAAAAAAAACATAGAAACAAGAAACACTAATTCCTCTAGCCCACCCCAAAATATTATAGTAGTTTAGAAAGTCTGGGAAAAAAAAAATCTCAGACCCCTTTCCATTCTGTTTACAGGATGCTCACCCAAGCTGGGAAGAAATGATCAGTTTTACCAGACCAGTTCCCAGGAGCTCCAGCTGTCCCTTCTGCGTCCCACCCCAGCCGGAGGACACCACACCAGGACAGCCTCTCTTAGAGGCCTGGTCGCCGGCTGCCCCTGGCCTTTGCAACCCGGTTACAGCACGGAGCCTGCATCCTTCCTGTTCATGGCATATATCTAGTACACACCTGAGAAGCTCACCTGCCAGAGAGAGGCCCACCATGTCAGCCGCCACGTCGATGGTGGAAGCCCGCTGCACCGCACGGGCCCTGGCACCATGGCGAGGGCTGTGCTCTCTTGCTGTCATGATGTCATTGGTGAGGATATGCAGTTTGGTCCTGGGGCACGCCTCACCCAATTCCCCAGTGACAGCTTTGCCCTGGACTCCTAAGACGCCAGTAGCCCTGAGAGGTGGGAGCAAACGCTGGTAAGAGGGTGACAGTGGAGCAACTGTGTCCCCATGGAAAGAGAGCAGGGCCTAACCCCAGCAAGAAGCTGAAGCCATCTTGTGACAGTGTGGAACTGGGCTAGGATGTCTGACACCTTCTGCCCTCTTCCTCCTCCCCACTCCTCGGCACGGTGTACCCAGGCGACCCTCTTCTACCAGAATGGACCACGTTACACGAGTCTCACTGCAAGCAGAACGAAAGGCCTTCACAGTTTTCTTGCCCCTCTCTAGCCCTCTCCTAACAGCAAGTCCCACAGAACCTTTCCACTCCCTATCAGCTCCCACAGCGCCTCTGCTGGAAGGACAATGATGGGCAGAGCTCTGCTGCCCGGGACACTGCCCATCTTCCAGGCAGAACAAGCCAAGTCTTGAAGCTCCAGCCTGACTTTCTCTCCCTTCAGCTACCAAGCTCTCAAGACTTTTCCATAGTGTCAAGAGACGATCTACCCTTAACCATAGGGGAAGATGCTGGGGTGAAGAGCTGAGAGAGAACGCCACTGCGGCCGAGTCAGCATGAAGCTGCCCTGGCACAGCACAGAGCTCCCACTATGCCTCAGGTTCAACAGCAAGAAGGGAGTCCTAGTTTGTCCAACCCCATCTACCAGCCCTGCTGGTTCTAGAAGGGACCAGCCTTCATAATTAGGATAACTAATGGAGCCATCATCTCAGGAAGAGAACCCCCTCAAAGGAATCCATAGACCCAAACACAACCTCCTCCTGCCTACACCGGAAGACCTGGGCTACTGCTCAAGTCAGTTCATACCATCTGTTGCCCACACCAAAAGACCCGGGCTACTGCTCAAGTCAATTTATACCACCTCCTGCCCACACTGGAAGACCCGGGCTACTGCTCAGGTCTGTTTGAGAAGTGACTTACCAGACATGCTTGCCTTCGGACCACGTGGCATTGCTTCATAGAAGGACAGCCAAATCCTTCATCTAGAGACAGAAAAGTAACTTGATGAGCACAGCAGGCATCATTTCCTGAGAGCATGCTACCCAGAACGGTAGGAAGTCAACAGTTGGTCGCATCTAATATTTCACTCAAGGAATGAGAAAGGCCCCTGCACTCCAAGGATTGTCAGTCAGAGAGTGTGGGCCTCCCCTCAAAGTCCAAGAGGGAGTGTGGGTAGAGAAAGTGAGGCCCACTCACCAAGCACAGAGCCCAGGAGGGGCTGCAGCTCAACTCTGAGCTCTGCTCTCTGGTGTCTAAGAAGAGGCTAGCGGCACCGTCTCACCAACTACAGTGAGAGCCAAACACATATTAGTGGGAGGGGCTCGTGCGCTCCACTGAGCTCCCACTTTGCCGCCACTGCTTGGTGAGCAGGTGCTGCCTGTAGACTGGACCACTTAGGCCAGGAACTGCTGTGAGCCAGTATGGCAGGTGTCAGGGGCCCAGCTCACAAACCTGGTGAGAATCAGAGGACAGCAGGGAACGGCACTGAGGCTCTGGACTGACTCATAGTCTTCTGCAGGCAGGGCTTATAGCTGCCCCCTAGGGTGCCCAAAGATCTCTGCCCTATAAGCCCTAGCCAGCAGCACTATGGACTGGATGGAGAGCCACTCTAGAAATTACTGAAAGGAAGAAGTTACTCATTGATCTGCTGTTACCAAGAGACACACAAGTAATAACCCATTTGCAATGCAAATACTGAAACTTAGAAAGCACCGAAACTCCTCCAAGGCTGGGCAGGGCTCGTCACAGCCCAGAGCCAGAGGGAGAGAGAGGCTCGGTTGAGGAATTGGCCATGTTGGACTATGGGCAAGGGCATGGAATAGTGATGGATAACTGACCCAGCCCACTCACGGCAGGCAGTGCCATCTCCCCCTCCCCCACCCCGCACTGCCTCAGAGCTGTCAGCCTGAAGAAAGCAGTCATCGACCATGAGTGCACTTGTTTCTCTCTCCCTTCCCTGCTGACGGGAGGTAGTCAATGGACTGCTCAAGCTCCTGCTTTGACTGTCTGCACCCAGCCGAGAATGTGATGACCTTTGAACTGTAAGCCAAGTAAGGCCTTTCGTCTCTAAGTTGCTTTTTTGTCAATGTGTGTGTCACAGCAACAGAAATGAAACTGGAAAACTACTAAAACTATACAATAATGCTGGCAGGAATGAACAGAACTCATTGATGAGGCAAGCATCAAGGAGAAGGAATTCATAAAAGAAAAGTATGTATGGTAAATATTTTGAAAAACTTAAATTCCAGCACAGTAACACTAAATCGAACTATTCCACCTAAATTAGTTCTCCAAGGATGCCCAACTGATCTTCTAAATTATGAACTGCTGGCAGGCCTGGGCCCTTCTATCCTGTAGATAACATTTTAGAGTGATACAAAGTTTCAGAATACAATTTATTAAATTTTGTAAACAAAAACTTCTTGCCAAGCATTTCAAACATGGAAAAGCCTCATGCACAAAACTGCTTACTGTAAAAACTGAAGACGAAAAACAATCTAAGTGCCCAGCTACAGTATGTTTTAGAACATCATGAGATACCAAAATGACTAAAAAAAATCCAGAAGTCACTCACAATACAAATTGAGGCCATGAGGCCCAGAACAACCACTTAAAAAGCTACAGTGATAAGGACAGATAGAGCCGAGAGCTGGCAAGGATGGAGGACAATTGGACCCAGTGCTGTGTGGGGTAGGAATGGCATGGTTCCTCTGGACAGTTGGCAGTCCCTACCCAAGCTGCACACATGACTTAGCTGGTGACCCATCTGCACGAGATAGAATTCTGAATGCAACTGCTAACAGAAATGCACATTTGTGTAAGTACACACACACACAGTCACACCATGAGACTGTTCAGTGCAGTGACAGTCATTGAGGACAATGGAAATGGTCATCATCTGTAAAATGCGCAGAGCAAAACAGATGAATCACTGGGAAAGACAACCATACAGACCCCAAAGGGACAGCCCACTGGCGTGAGGTGCAGGCAGGGGCCAAAGAATCCATTTTGTCAAGAGAAGGGCATCACGCCGGGTGTCCACTGCAGAGGTGTGAGTTGCTCCTGGCCTCCGAGAATGGCCTGTTCTTGGCTGGGGTGCAGATTCCCTGAGTGCCCTGAGTGTCAACCCACTGAGCAGTACAGGAGTGGGCTCTGCGCCTCAGTGAGATGTGTACTCAATGCTTTCACAACGGTCACAGGCGTGGCACACGCTCCTGCCAGGTCTGCTCCACCTGCTCTCTAGTCGCAACAACAACAACAAAAAAAATAGGACACAAGCCTGCAAAGGCTGTGACAAGATGGCCGTCGGGCCTGGGAACTGTTTTCAGGGAACTCTTTCTGTCTTCTATACTGTCATGTTTGTATGTTCACAAGGCTGCATTAAAGTCTGGCTATGAGCTAGCACGCAGAAGGAGTGCCTCTCTTGCCCCTCGCTTCAGTGTAATCTCGGTATCCCATGCCCTGCCTTGCTGCCTTTCTCTCACCATAATGGTGAAGACGCAAGTGAGCCCTTCCCCTGGGACAGAAGCAATGTGCCACCAACAAACAGCCTGCCTAAACCCTGACATCTTCCACACACAGCTGACCACCCACCCTCTTTCCTGTCTCCTCCGGCCTACTCCACCTGCCCACTTGTCTCTGAGGAGGTAGTTGGTGTCATTTACACTGGGGGTTCTCTGAAGATTAAAATTCTCAGAAAGGGATATTTACATACTAATTTTATACTAGTTCATAGGTCACATATTTTAGGTCAATGACTTTGACAGCTACTTCTCTTCTATTTGGGGGCACTTAATTATAATCTACAATTTAAATCAGACCCAGAACGCAAGGCAATTTGTACTTGATTTCCCTCCTTGGACTCATTAATTTAAGATAATTCACCAAGGATTTCTAAATTCCCAGTGTCCCCAATTTCTCTCCCAGTTCTGTTTGAAGACTGGAGTTCATCGAGAAGAAGAAAAACTGCACTTAAATCAGGAAGAGTGAAAACTGTGGGGAGGGGCTTACGGAACTGGAAGCAAGCAAGAGCTTGTGGAACTGCCTCCTTTCGCTACTCTACAGAGGACAGGCCCTTCTGACAGGAGAGGCTCTATAGCACCAGTGTCCTGAACCCCAAGGAGGGCCAGGGGCCATGACCGCTGAATGCAGAAATTCGGAAAGCATCAGGTTCTTACAGGAAACAAATGGAATGGAAGAGACGGCAAGGCACCTCAGAAGCTTCTGAAGTCTTGGAAAGGCCTGCCTTCCCTTCCCCTCACTGAAACTAAAGAGTCTCAGGCTGAGAAGGGGCTCAGGAGCCCCCATACCTCAGTAGCCTCTTGGAGGCTATGGGCTGGAGCTGGAGGAGGAGGAGCCGCAAGAGCTGTTCTGGCCCATCTTAACACTGGCATCTTTCTAAAACTAAGCTCATGAAAATGGGGGCAGGGAGTAACCTACACAGGTGCATCCTCTCAGAAATCACAGGGAAGTAAAAGACATGTGAAGCAAAAAGGAAGAAGGCACAAATACAAATGGAACCCTTCTGCCCAGCCCAGCCCTATCGCTGACATGACTGCACACGGCATCAGCCTTCCCCATGCCACTCTCTCCACACACATGGGAGGGAAAGTAGCACGAAAGACGTGAGTCAGAGTGAGTAAGCAGGCCCCGAGGGAGAACCTACTTTAGAAGATGGAAAAAGAGGAATTTTCTCCTAAAACCCCAAATCCAGAACAGCTGAAACTCACAGATCACTGTGGCATCAGCTCTCACTGGCACCAAAACTTCCTGTAATAACCAAGGAGTTGGTGTCCTGAAGCCTTGATGTTGACTCCTGAATGAAATGTCCTCCTGAATACTACCTTTCACAGGGGAAACAGTCTGGATGACAGGCCAGCATCGGAGAACAGTTGCAGGGTGTCAGGAAAATGTTTCCTGGGGATTTATTATAAGATCCCATCCAAAGCTCACAAGCTGGCAAGCATATAGGTGACCCCAAACAGCTACCCTGGAAAGTCCTAACCCAGCATGGAAGACGGCTTCCTCATAGCCACACGGATAGAGAGAGCCGCTCTCAACCTCCCCTAGCCCATGTGCTCTAGAAGGTGTAGGAACTTCCATCCCATCCCCCCAACCCCTGCCATCCTCCCTACCCCTCTGCAATTAGGGCAGAACTGCACCCAGATGTCTAGGGGCAGTGGCTGGAGACTCCTCCGCTGCAGTGATGGCCTCCGCCAACAACTGCCCGGTGACGACAGCCATTCACGGTAGAAGTCCTGCCTGTTTTGCTCAGAGGACCAACTTCTCTAGTACTCAGTGTAATGCTTGACTCGGGGCAGCCATGCTACAAAGCAGCTCTGCATGGCTAGTACTTAAAAAACAGGGAGGGAAGTGCTTTACAAGTCAAGCACAAGCAAAAGTAAGAGCTAACAACGTCCAGCCCTTCTCATCCCTGGGCACAAACAACTTCACCCCAACACCACACACACACACACACACACACACACACACACACACACACACACTCATTTGTTGTCATTCAATTATTTACCTCCTGCTTCCCACTTCCTGTTTTCTGCTAATAACAATAAATAAATAATGATGGTAATGGCTCAGCACCATGTAAGTAGCATGCCTTGTAAGTATAATAAATATGATAATTCATATAATGTGGTGTCTAAACCCAGATACAAATGTATATCCCCTATTCAGGAGGTCAGTCACTTAAAGGACCCTCCAAAACTCATGTACTGAGACTCAGTGGCCACTGGATGGTACTACCAGGTGGCTCTTTAGATGACAGGTGCCTCGCTCCGTCCTCAGAGAGAGGACGGTCCTGACAAGGGGCTAAGTGTGACTAACTTTACATTTGTATTCCAGTGTGAAGGCACAAGAAGGCTCTCCCTGGATACCAAGCGCAGGCCCCCCAACTTGTAATTCAGAACGAAGGAAATAACGTTTATGAATTACCACTAGGTATTTGGTTGGTTATGCTAAGCTCTA